AAGGGCTGTTGTCTTAGCAAAGTACCCCAGCCTGGTGACCTGAAGAACAACGATGTAGAGTCTCACGGTTCTGGAGATTAGAAAGGCAGGGGTCCAGGTGTTCACCTGCTTGGCTCCGTCTGGGACTGTGAGCGACAATCTGATTCATGGGGCTCTCCCAGCCTCTGGGAGATTGCTGCTGCCTTCTGCACGCTGACTTGTCCACGTGTCACCCATCTCTGCCTTCATCTTCACGTGGCTTCTTCCCACGCGCACATCGGACTCTGTGTCCAAATTGCCCCCCTTTATAAGGACATCGGCTTTGGCTCCAGTCCCACCCTAATGACTTCATCATAACCTGATCATCACCTGCAGAGACCCTATTTCAAATAAGGCCACATTCATAGCCACTAAGGCTGAGGACATCTTATTGACAGACAAAATTCTACCTGCAACACTAGTGTGAAAGAAGGTTTCATAAGATATTCTCCTTTGATAATCCCAAAGAGTTGCCTAAGGACAAGTAGATCCTGATAGTTAATAAATCATCTCTCCTTTAGGTAGGCATGTCATTTTCAGGCTGAGTCCGTGTGTGTGTGTGTGTGTGTATGTGCTGATTTTTGACCAGCACATCCTATACATCCTATATAACAATTAGACCTTTGCTAACAGGGCGAACCTGGAAATCAGCTATGCCAAAGGACTTCAGAAACTGGCCACCAAGTTGAACAAAGTATTGCAGGGCACCAAGAAAAAGTAAGTATCATGGCAGAGGTAAGGTGAAATTATTCTTTAAAAAATAGTGAAAACTGACATATAGTCCATTCCAGCCTCCTTAAAAATGTGGCAGGTCCCTATGACCAAGCAGAGCTTGGCACTTACCATGTGCCTGGTGCCTTGTGTATCAGGCTTTGTAGATTCTCTGCTTCAGTCCTTCCCGAGTCCCGGAGAGGTCTGACTGTCACCCCTCTTTACGATAGGGACTGAGGTTTGGAGAATAAAAAGCACTCCCAACCATGCAGTTACAGAGCTGGATTCACCCTGCGTCCTTCTAACCCCTACAACCTCTTTCATAATTGGCTTGGTGATGACATTTAATTTGAAAAGTGGTGGTAGTAAGTCAGAGGGTCTTAGAGTCAGGAAGCCTGACTTCTGTGTCATCGCTACTCTGTGACATTTGACAAGCAATTTGGCCTCTGCTTGATTTTGTCCTCTGTTAGATAGAATAATGATGTGTGTTCGTGTGTGTGTGTGTGTGTGTGTGTGTGTGTGTGTGTGTGTGTGTGAAAGAGAGAGAGAATAAATGAATGGAGCATATTAAATGAGATAATGTGTGTAAAGACCTTAGCTCAATGGATACAAAAATGTTGGTTCACATTCTCAGTATTTAGCAGTAATAGGAACAAAGTAGATTTCTTCCTTGCAGGAGAGAGGACAGATGTAGGTATTCCAAAAGTGTCTATTGGTGATAATTTGCTCTGAAGGTCTGGACTAATGTATGCAGATGAGACTCCAAACTAGCAGGGCTCTGACAGAGGCTTTTTCTGATATTGATGGGAGGCAGGGGGCGGGGGGTTCTGGAGCCCAGATCCCAACTCTGCTTAGATATCACCTGCAATAGCAAATGATGGCTTTAAAATTCCTCAGAGTTTTAGCTCAATTTTCATTTTTAGGATAGCTGGTGTGTGTGTGTGTATGTATGCGTATGCGGTACCAGGGAAAAACTCATGATCCTGCACTTGCCAGGCAGGCACTTATGCTGCTGAGCTATCTCCTCAGCCCTAGGATAGCCTTTGGTAGACTACAAAGGAGACAGTGTGGCACAGAGTTGAGTTTAGACAGACTTTTGTTTAGACTGCCCAGGTTTAAATTCTAGCTTCACCACTTATTGGTTGTGTAACATAGGACAAATTATGTTTCGTTTCAATGCCATTTCAAATGGAAGGAAAGCCTGTCTCCTGTCGTTGCAGGAAAGATTAAGTGAGGTCATCCAAGTGTGGTTGGTGGTACAAAGTGCAGGAGTGTCCATACTGCTTTTGATATCGTTACTTGGTTTCTTCCTAACCAATAAGAGGTGGAGGGTGGAGTGGTGTGTGTCCTGCCTCATCATGGCCCCAGCACCCACGTGGCAGTCAAGAGGGCTGGCATTTCTGGGGTGTTCTGTTAGGCAACATTAGTCAGTATTTAATGGTGAGCTTTCACTGAATGTTTTTCTCTGCCAAAATCTGTGTTGGGTGCTTGACTCAGATATTCCAGTGCATTTTTATTTTAAAAGATCAGTTAGATGATGGTCAGAAAAGCTGAGTGATTCTTCCAAGGTCACACAGGAGAAACAGGAGTCCCAAGCATGTGGCCTGGTCAGTGTATCCGGGTCTGTAGCCCACGTAGCCACCACTAAAGTCTGAAAAGACACTTTCTTCATGCTCTAGGATTCCTTCTCCTGTTTCCGTTCCTCCCTGGTGTGGGAGAAGATGATGTAACCCTTCCTGACCCTCCTTGTGTCCCTCCAGGGTCGGTGGGTACCCTCTGTGATGCTGGGGTACTACTGCCCATGGCAGTACAAGATGTTCTCAGGTGCTCTCCTAAAAGCAACAGGGAGCAGGCGGTGAATCCAGAGTCCAAGAGCAGCAGGCAGGAGACGGATAGGAGTTGAGTCCTCTGTCATTTACCTGCTTCGAAGCTCAATGTATTCATCCCTGAACTGAGGACCCTGAAGACCCCCCGGAGGGCCTTGTCACCCGCTAGCCCGTCACACACCTTATTGCCTCTCTGTGGCTGTATTACCCTGATTTCCTACAGACGTGAAGTGACAGATGAAAATCTGAATGAGAAATGACTGGGGAAGAAAGGCAGCGTGTACAATGACTAGAGGGCAAATGCCTGTGTTGGCACGACTTCATCCCAAGAAATTGAAGTCGGGGGAGAGAACCGGGCGCATCGAGCGTGAGGCTTTTTTCTCAGAGTTCATTGGAAAATGACGCCACCTTTGTCCCTTCTCTGCCTCTAGCTGTCTCAGCAGCGCCTGGGCGTGGGCCTCGGAGGGCATGAAATCTGCCGCGGAGCTGCATCAGTGAGTGTCCCCAGCTGTCCCCCTGACCTAGCTCGAACCCCACAGACACTCGGCAATATCCCAAGTGGGTGGGGAACAAATATTCCGCTTCCGGCTCGCGCTGAGTAGGTACGCTGTGGCGTACCATTTCATTTTCCCAGGAGGCAATTTGGAAAGCGGATGTAAACCCAAAGACAATGACCTTATGCCTTTATGTTCTATTTCCAGAAAACTTGGCAAAGCAATTGAGTTGGAGGCAATAAAGCCAACTCATCAAGTCCTGAGTGTGCAGGAGAAGAAGAGAAAATCAGTGAGTCAAGCCCTTTCTTTCTTTCTCTCTTAAAACAAGAGTTCTGTCTGTGGCCCAGGAGGAAAAGATGG